ATTCTCGCCTGTGCTTGGGTTGCTGCGGGGTTCCCTGCCTGCTTGGGTGTATATCTCTGCTTGCGTCAAAGCAGCCATACATGACTACCTCCCCATCGGTAGGTGGCCAAGCGTGATGTGAGCCCTCACATCTCCTCGCCGACGTCTGTCGGTTTGGGCATGGAGGGTCTGATTCTGGTTATTGAACCCTCAACCCTCACCGGCCAAGGAGATAGTTGCTTGGCCTTGAGTGCGAAGTTTCGACTGGGGGACTCTCCCGCTTCCTGCGGGGCAGGTGGGGTCCCCGCCTGCTTGGGTTTACCTGATGGCTCTGATTGGAACGAAGCAGTCAAGCCTGCTTTGGCCGTCGGACGAGACTCTTGTGAGTCAAAAGAACGTTGCGCCTTGTGCTCGGAGAGGCTCCACTGGCTGACCACCATGGAGTGCTCTGGGCTGGTCCTACCCTTTGTTCTTGCTGTTAAGTCCCCACTGGCTGACCACCATGGGGCAACTTTATACTTCGGATCAAGAAGGTTGACACCTGCAACGTCCCGTGCCAAGGCACGACTATGCCCCACCTGTGATGGCGGACTTGTGAACCTTCTCGTGAACGGCCTTGGCTGGTGCTGAATGTATTCGCATCGGTGGCTGCATGATGGTGGTTTTGTGAATCTGGCAACGTCGCATTTTGCGACGCACCTGCGCACTCGGTGCTACATGTGTGCTCCCGGCCTCTTCGACGATTTCGAGTACTGAGTGCACAGGGTGACCTAGCAGTTCGGCGCGCTGGCTGTGGACACTTCTACGTGGAGATTATGCACCCGCTGACTTGGCAGGGAGCCATTCCCCACTTGTAGAACAACCTGGCCCTCTTGAGACTCTTGAGGGTCACCCTCGTCTGAGCTTGGCCTGCGGCAGGGCAAGTGGGCTCCCCGCCCGCGTGGATGTTACCTGAAGGCTCTGATTGGACCAAAGTAGCAATACCATGGAGATCCTTGCACTTCGGCACCAATGTGATGTGAGCCCTCCCATCTCCTTACCGACGTACCTCGCGGGTTTGGGTTTGGAGGGACCTGATGCGTGCCGATGCGCAGGCCAGCGCCAAGGTTGCGTGGCCTTGTGTGAGATGCCTGGACTGGGAGGTTCCTCGTTGTCATTATAAACCCTGTGGCGTTAAGGGTTTGGTAACTCGCTGTGGACTCTCCCCGTGGAATCGGTAGCTGCAGCTACTCTCGCCCCCCCTCTGGCCGTGCGCGGGCACCTCTCTGGGCGGGCACTTGTACGCCAGGTTGACTGGAGAACCCTGTGCTCGGAGCTACTCCACTGGCTGACCACCATGGAGTGCCCTGGGCCGGTCCTGCTTTGATTGTTCTTGCTGTTAAGTCCCCACTGGCTGACCTCCATGGGGCATATGCCCCCTGTGCCGGGCGCGGACACCTCTCTGGGTGGGCACTTGTACGCCAAGGTGAATGGAGCACCCAAAACTCGGAGCTACTCCACTGGCTGACCACCATGGAGTGCCCTGGGCCGGTCTTGCCTTGATTGTTCTTGCTGTTAAGTCCCCACTGGCTGACCACCATGGGGCATATGCACATCTTTCATCCCCCCTAGGGAGTCTGACTTGCAACATCCTTTCGCCATTGAGTGTCGGTTGTCTGTCCTTGACAACGAGTACGTGATCCGAACCTCTTCTGATGACCTCGGTTTGAATAACCGCTGTCGCACCAGTGGCTACATGATGGTGGTTTTGAGAATCTGGCAATGTCGCAATTTGCGATTCCCCCACAAGCTCTGTGCTTCCTTGTGAACCGGGACTTCATTGACGACCTCGAGTACTGAGTCCGTGGGGTATCTAGTAGTTCAGCGCGATTGCTCGCTTTGTTTCTTTGGTGTTTGTTTGCTTGGTGGTTGCTTGTTGTGTCTGGCGGATTGTGTGCGCTGACCTTGTTTCACCCTTTACGTCGAGCCCAACAAGACCGGCCTACTGTGCTACTGATGTAGTAAAGAGGCGTCAGTCCAAAAAAAAAGCACATGACAAGCTGAATTGCAACTGTGGCAACCTGAATGGCGCCTATATGAATAAGTACAGGCCCACCACCGACCGCTTGCCACGCAGCGGTGCATTTTTATTGTCTTATGTCGGGAGCGGTCCTCACGTCGGGCAAAATTTTGGCGAGCTTCAAAAGTGTGTCTTCTCATCAGAAATCGCACAGTTTTTGGCCCTTATTTTGAGGCCAGAAATTGGGTCCCAAAACTGGGTCTGCCTGATTCGAAACTCTTAGAAAAGATCCCATTTCGGGCTTCGCTTTGGGGCCCAAAAATGGGACCCTAGAATGGGCCGTAAAACATGGCAAGTGTGCTTTCAATTTTGCGGAGACACGCAAAGCATGCACGTTTGGGTCGGGCGCAAAGATAGTCAGCGGTCGCTTAAAACTGTTGGCAATAGCATTATAACGGAACAAGTATTGCACATGACAAGCTGAATTGCAACTGCGGGGGCACTCAAACGTGTCCTACGCTTCTTGTGTCTTTTTGGGGTCTGATTTGGCTTTACTGCTGACCTGGCGCCCATTCAGCTTGAACTGGAAGCTTGGAAAGCCAACAAACGCAAGCCAATTCACAACTGACCTTTTGGGGGCACAATTGGCATTGAGAGCAAGTGAAAGCTTGCCCACTTGCTACGGTGATGGTCTGGCTTCAGGTAGTCGGGTGCATGCCGCCAGCCAACGGCCAGTTGCTGGAGTTGGAAAGTTGCGCGCCCGCCAGAACCATAAACCAGATCTTGTTCACCTGCACAAAGCCATGCATCCTTGCCGGCAAGATCCAGGTCTTGTCAAACCTGCAGTTGACTGCTTATCTGTGCGGGGCTGCTGTGGCAACTTGTACTTTCGATGAAAGGCGTTAACACAAACTTGCTATGCAAGAGGTCCGTTTTGGTCTCAAGCTGCGTGATATATCCAGGCACCTCCACACTGCACTTCCGCTGCGTCAGCTAAGTTACATGCTGGATAAATCCCTCTAAAGTTTCGAGCTGGCAGCGCTCTGCTCAGGTCGGCCCTTCTTGCCGGCCTTTGTTCGTTCTTGTTTCTAGATTGTTCTCACGGACAGCGAAAGCTTTTTCCGGGAAAATCTTTTCTTACGCCAAAGATGCGTTCTTACGCCCAAGCATCTAGGATTGATCTTGCTATCTGGACCTTAAAACCTAAACCCTAAACCCTAAACCCTAAACCCTAAATCCTAAACCCTAAACCCTAAACCCTAAACCCTATAAGCCCTAAATGTGATCTTCTAAGGCTCTCACATGGGCTGTGCTCTGCCAAGGAGGAGCAGCGTACTGAGTGGGGTCAGCCGTAGTAGGGTTTAGGGTTTAGGGTTTGGGGTTTGGGGTTTTGGGGTTTGGGGTTTAGGGTTTGGGGTTTGGGGTTTGGGGTTTGGGGTTTGGGGTTTGGGGGGTTTAGGGTTTAGGGTGTCGGTTTCAGGGTTCAGGGTTTGATGGTTTAGGGTTCCATGCATCACAAGGGCAAGACGGGTGCCCCACCATCTTTTTCTTGAAGTTCGAGCAGAAGGGCCTTCTGCCTTTAGAGGTGGTCGCATTAGGAAGTACAGAACATGTCAGCTGCAGCTCAACACAAGGAACAAAGTTAGGGAAAACAGCGTGAGAGTTGCTGCTTTGATTAATTTTGGACGTGATCTTTAGATTCAAGGGTGCACAATGTCAACCACCCTCCAGATTGAAGCTGTCGCCCTCCATCTTGCACTTTGGGCAAGACTTAAAGTGTTTTCCAAAAAACGTGCAGTTCTGCAGTTGCACAAGCACTCCCAGTTTTTGAACGCTCTGAAGTGCCTTGAAGTGCTTGTCATGGCCGAAGACAGGACATGATGCTGCGGCGGGTTTTTTGCACAATCTACAACAGCAGCTCGCTATATGGTTTCCGGGAAGAACTTGTGGTTGAGCTGTGAGGATACGTCTTGATTGGTGGGGGGGCCGGGAAGGGACCCCATATGATGGGGCCACCTGTTTAGAGGTGCCTAGAGTCAGGATTGTTTTTTCTGGGGGGGGGGGGTGTAGTATTGGGGATCCGTAATTTGCAGGGGTTGTTCTGCTTCGGGGCTGAGGGCTTATGAACTTATAGGCAGAACATGCTAACGGATCCCCATGTTTATACATTTACAAGCAACCACACATATGCGCATACACATGCTGTATATATGCCTATATGTTTATGTAAGTGTAAATGTAACTGTACATGTAATGTTTCTGTACATGTATAAGACCCAACAGAGCCTCTACTGAAGAGCACCCCGCAAGCACCGTGGGCGTTACAGACTGGCAAGACCAAATTGCATCGGCATCAGCTGCGTGGAGTTGATGGAAGGAGGTTCGGGTCTTAGGGTTCACGGTTTAGGGTTTCATTATCGCTTTTTGACGAAGAAGTACCTGAATCCTGGATTCGCAAGGCTTTCAATCGTAGCCACGAGTGCTAGGGTCGGAGAGTGTTCCTGAGACTTTCCGGCCAGGACAGCATAGCCCGGATGCACAAAGAGTTCTCTTATGCCCTCTCAACCCTGAAGACATAGCCCCTACAGGGATTTGGGTTCCCGAAACCCTGAGCCCGAGCTGGCCCTAGCAGGTTGGGCTCTTGGTTATGAGGGTCGAACTTGCCCAGTGGCCCAGAAGTCCCAGGAAGTACTGTCAAGCCCGGTACATGGACCCTTAATTGGGGGATTGAAGCTCTCCGCGCGAGTTGAAGCCCGACGCTGAGTGATCTGCAAGGAAGCCTCCGCCATCGACGCTGGTGCCTCCTGAGCAGGTGCGAAAGGGTTCCGGTGAAGTGAGAGGCATCGCCTGTAAGACGTAAGGCTCCTTGTGTGGATTGTGTGGATTGGATCCTGTTGGATCCTGTTTCTTCCGAAAGCTGCATCACCATGACGGCCGTGTCCCAGACGCCGGTTGCGCAAGTTGTTTCAGAAGGCTCAGGAGCACCGGGAGCGAAACTTTGTGCGTGGCGTGAGCCCTAGTCATGGCCATGCTGAGACGCTGCATCAGTGAAATGTCTGCTGTTGACTATGAGGAGTCGGAGCACTTACAGCTGCAAGCCATGTGGGTAGTCAGCATAGCAGACGTCTTGCAGATATCTGGGCCACCCACAGTGCACGAAGAACTCCGAGCTGCGGGAAAGCTTGTCAAGCACCGTCCGGGCATGTACTGTGTCTTTGTGTCTCACCAGTGGCTCGGACGGCACCATCCAGATGCAGAGGGCAAGCAGTTCCAGGTGCTGCAGCAGACATTGCGAGGCTTCATCGAGGGCACATTGCCGGGTCAGCCAGACATGGTAACGCAAGCCCTTTTGGGAGATCGTGGCTTCTCTCGCCAGGAGCGGACTGCGCTAGCCAAGGGGTATCTGTGGCTAGATTGGTTCAGCATCCCGCAGCAGCGCGGGAGAACCAAAGATCGACGCTCCTCGGTGATTTCCATCCCATCCTACGTCGACTCCTGCAACATCTTCCTTGCTTTGGTCCCTCCACTGAGGCATTCGGACTCAGGAAAGCTTTGCGATTACGAGTCGTGGCTGGAGCGGGGTTGGTGCAGGGCCGCTGGTGCTGATTTGGAAATTTTTCTTTCCAGACATCACTCTGTCTGGTTTTTGAGCTGTATGGCTCTTAACGGCCCTAGTAATATACACCCCTTTTCCTAAGATACCCTACGTAGCCCACCATCCCCCCAAATCCTCAGGCCGAGCTTTGGTGCGCCCAGCTGTCCAACAAAGCAGACTTGCCCATGGTGGTGGTGCACGCAGGGGATGACGCAGAGGTCGCAATGGCCAACCATTGGATCTATGCACCTGTGCAGGAAGGAGTCTTCACTGTGGATGCCGACCGCCACGGTGTCAACGAGTTCATTCAGACAGCCCTGCATGCACGCATTGCATACCTCACAAAGCACAAGCAGCAGCTGGAGTTGTGCCGGTATCTCAAAGCCAGGTTGCACGATTGGGTCGGACAACCCGACGTGCAACGCCCGCCCGCTGCATTTCTGTCCTACTTTGGTTTTAAAGATATGGCCCAAGCCATCAGGACATCGACCATGGGTGGTATGGCCTGCGCTGCTGTATCGGGCGACGTGTCAATGGTGCGAGCACTTGCAGATGCTAAGGCCTCTGTCAGCACTTGCGGCCAAGTTTGCCGCTCTATGTTATCTGTCGGCGTGCTGGGCTACCCACCCATGCATCTTGCCTTGCAACGTGGTGCCCGGGGTCATGCTGTGGTGCTGGAGTTGTTGCGCCAGAGAGCAAGCCCCAACTCAACGAGTGGAGAGGGTAACGCGTGCCTTGGGACTTGCCGTGATGTCGCTTCCGTTGAGATGCTGGTGCGCCATGGTGCGGATGTGAACTTGCGAGTTGGAAGAGTGTGGAACACCCCTATAGCCTATGCTTGCGGCAAGTTGGCACCTTTGGAAGTTACCAAGAAGCTGGTCGAACTGAAGGCGGATGTCAACTTGTCCGTGACGCCCCTTTCGACCTTGGCCATGTTTAGCCGATGTGTGCCCAACCTGGCCAGGAGCACTGCAGACGTCTTGCTCCAGGCACGTGCAGACGTCAACCAGCCCGAGCATCTCATGGGGTTTTACAGGGCCTTGGAGATTGCGGGCAGAGTGCGGTTATGTTTCAGAAGCCGAAGCAACTTAAGCTATGTTTTCGGGGAGGGCAGCACGACACCCCTCGGCTGGGCAGCTACTTCAGACAACGCCGCACTAGCGGAGCTCCTCTTGTCTGCCAAGGCTGATCCAGATATTCCCAACCGTCGAGGCCACACTCCCAGACAACTGGCAGCACGCTTTCGCCGCGTTCACAGCCTCTTCGCATCCGCCGGACCCGGTGCATCGGTGCAGGGCGTCCCTGCAAAGGGTGCCATGAAGCTTCCCCAGTGTCCGCAGCTCGAAGATGACGAAGCCGATGACGTTATTTCTTTATGAAGGAAGCATGTGCTCCGAGTTGATGCGGGGTTGGCTATTCTCAATGGGCGCGAAAACATTCATGTATCTCTACCACTCATATGTCAACTAAGTTTTCATTCTTATAGGGCTCCCAAATCCCCCGAAAGCTTAAACGACATCTAGCTCCTAGAAGTCTCGGCTGGAGGCCGCTTGGCACGGGAGGTTGCGTGGAAGGCAGCACCATGCAGTTGCCCTGCCCGTGCGCAAATGTAGAAACCCTTTTTGGGGTACTTTTTGGAAAGGGTCCGGGAACAAGCTGTAATGGACTACTTGAGCGGGGATCCTAGTTTAGGACCACTAGGGCCTTCCGAAAAAAACTTCCTGAATCAGAGCTTCGGAGCGCATGCTTTCCAAGTTTTGAAGATCCGCCACCAGGTTCTCTGAAGAGGCATGTAAGAGGGATGAGGGTTTAGGGCCTTTTAGAGTTTAGGGTTTAGGATGAAGTGCTGGCTTGGTTTGAAGCCAAGAACCTGTTGTTGGGTTTAGGGTTTAGTAGGGGTAAGTATACTAGCTGTACGAGCTGTACTTGGCCCAAGTCAGGGCAGTTAGAACCCATGTCAGTGTTCTGATAACCCTACTCTTTGTCCAACTAAGGGGCCCGTTTAGGGAGGAAGAACCATACATCTGCTCAAGTGAACCCAACCTTAATCCCTACACCTTTTAAGGTTCAGTCCCCAAGGCAAGGCAGAAAGCCGTGCCCTCCAGCTGCGTCGTCCAAAGGCGGCATCCTGAAAAGGGAACTGTAGGGTCTAGGGTCTCAAAGAGCCTCATGACAGGGGAGAGATTTTAGTATCTCTCTCTTAGCAGAGGTAGTTTTGGTGCAGCGGCGCTAGAATGGCGAGGCGCACTGATGATCTGGAAAATTCCAGTTGGTTGGGTTGAAGCCGAAAACAAAGGCCTCACGAAATGTCAACCTTGGGCAAAAACCAATTTAGGGTAGTTATAACCCATGTGTAGGGTTCTTATAGCCCTACTCTTTTTCTAAATAAGGGGCGCCCGTTTAGGGATGAAGGACCCTACATCTACCCAAGTGAAACGCTTGTCTCGTGAAGTCAACGCAGGCGCACCCGATACGGGAGTTTGAGGTGCGGTGTCAGGACTCAAGATATGGGAGTCTCGACATCTGAGTCGAACAGTTTTGAAGCCAGTCGAGGGGTCCACAGGGGTTTTTCAAGCCAGTCGACTGGTCCTCTCGGATTTTGTGAAGACCCTTTGGGAGGATCAACGCTGATTACGTTCTTTTTGGTTTCTCCCAAAAAGCCGGGCATACACTCTGCACGGCCTTCTTCTGACACCAAGATGGGCGCTCTGACCCCCCTAAGACCGCAACACTTGAACACCACCAGTATGCAAATAGTGGGGTAGAATTTTTGCTGAAAGTACTCGTTCTATGAAGGTATGAGTACCATAAACCCAGCCCTAAGCCGTAAACTTTTCAGGTTCATTTGGGGGTTTACGCAGTCCCCGAGGCAAGGCAGAGAGCCGTAGCCTGGGAGTTTCTTAATTTGTGCGCGGACGCGGTGTTGCGAATCCAACTGCCGCGGTTGCTCGGTTGTACAGCTGCACAGACGTGTGGGCGGTTTTCAAGCTGTTTGTTTGGGCTCATGGAAGTGTAGGAGGGTCTGGGAACGCGGAAACTTGCAAAACCGGCCGCATTAGGGCATCCCTGCTCGTACCAGAGACCCAAGACTTCATTTGCCAGAGTTCTCTGCTGAACCATGCAAAAGGCCGGGGGCGCGGCGTGAAACAAAACATGTGCTTTGCGATGTTTCACGGAGCAACGTGTGAACATGTGAAGGCAGGTCAGTCCTCATGCTCATTCTTTGCAGATGTCACAGATCGCCCTGGTGAGCATGATGTCGCGCTTTTGCGGGAGAGCTGGCCACACCGGATGACGAGCTCGTGCTTTGTGATTGCCTCTTCCGCGACCCTCAAAACGACGGCAGGACCAAACGCTAAACCCTAAACCCTTATCCGCAGCTCAACACAAGGAACGAATTCAGGGAAAACAAGGCGTGAGGGTTGCTGCTTTGATTGAGTTTGGACGTGGAGCTTTAGACTATCCAAAGAGCCGCAAAGTAGGGTTTCCGGTACCCGGAAAGTTCGATACCCCTTATTGAGTGTACTCTTCAGTTATCATGAGGATCCTAAGCTCGGCGCTTCTCTGCATTCTGGTCCTACCCTTGATCTCGGGCTGCGAACACTGGGAACCCAAAAAGGGATAATGATTTTGAGAACCCCCTGAACCCTTAACACGTCTATTGCTTGCTGAAGGTAAGGTGTCTTGGGCTCTCTCAGGGTCAGCTGGTCTTTTCTCTTGGGCGGGGGGAGAAAGGTTTGGGGGACACAAAGCGCGAGAGAAAGGATCACCTGGAGTCAGCCAAAATGTGGGTTAGGGTTTAGGGGTTAGATTCCCTCATGAAAGGGGGCTGCACAATGTCAACTGACCACCTCTCCAGATTGATGCTGTCAGACCCTGACACCCTCAATGTTGCACAATTTGGGCAAGGCTTCTGGAGGACTTCGTCGGTGTCTTCCGGAAAACACAGTTACACAGTTACACAAGCACTCCCAGTATTTGAACGCTCTGAAGTGCCTTGAAGTGCTTGTCATGGCCGGAGACAGGACATGGCGCTGAGCGGGTCTTTTGCACGACCTACAAAAGCAGCTCGGATGCTATTGGTTTCCGGAGAACTTGTGGTTTAGCTGTCAGGATACGTCTTGGTTGGTGGGGGGGGGGGGGTCCTGGGGGGGGGGGGGGTGGTATCGTATTGGGGATCCGTAGTTTGACTTGGCAACTACCCATTTGTAGAGAGGCACCAGGAGTAATGCTACGGGGCTGAGGGCTTATGAACTTATAGGCAGATCCCCATGTTTATATATTTACAAGCAACCACAAATATACGTATGCACATACTGTATATATGCCTATATGTTTTTGTAAGTGTAAATGTAACTGTACATGTAAACGATTCTGTACATGTATAAGACCCAACAGAGCCTCTCCTGAAGAGCACCCCGCAGGCACCGTGGGCGTTGCAGACTGGCGAGACCAAATTGCATCGGCATCAGCTGCGTGGAGTTGATGGAAGGAGGTTCGGGTCTTAGGGTTCAGGCTTTAGGGTTTTATTATCGCTTTTTGACGAAGAAGTACCTGAATCCTGGATTCGCAAGGCTTTCAATCGTAGCCACGAATGCTAGGGTCTGAGAGTGTTCCTGGATGCTGGAGCAGGTCTGGCGAGATCGCTCTCACGGTCGCATCCTTGAATGGCCAATATAGGGGTCGGAATGATTACTGATAGTGTTTTTTAGGGTCCCTTTATAATTCTGCTATACTAACACCCAAAACCCGATTCAAATTATTCAGGCCCCTACACCATGTCGAGATGGTACGGTTGCTGCTGGACGCTTGTGGCGACAGGAACTTGTCCGACGAGTCGGGGTGCTCGCATCTTGTGAGGGCCGATTTAGGGTTTAGGGTTTAGGGTTTAGGGTTTAGGGTGCAGGGATTCACGTTTGCTGCGGGACGCCGCTGTCAACCAGAACTTGCAGGACACTCTCTCGTGCAGGCATGTGCCAAGGGCCACGTCGCGATGGCACGCTTGCTTGGAGCTGAACACCCTAATCCCTAAGCCCTAAACCCTAATTAAACCCTTAACCCCAAACCCTAAACCCCAAACCCTAAACCCTAAACCCTAAACCTTAGACCCTAAACCCGAAACCCTAAACCCTAAACACTAAGCCCTAAACCCTAAACCCAGAACTCTCCCCTCAGCTCGCGTCGACTGAGCTCCGTTCCGGCGGCCATCATCCTCTTGAGCTTAGGAGGAATTCGGCTCTACAGGGTTTAGGGTTTAGGGTTTAGGGTTTACCGCCTGTCTAACCTTCCGGAATCTGTTTCACCTTTAGGACAGGGAAGGGAATTAGTACTAGCATCATGTGGGTGATTACATGAACACAAGAACGCAACCACACCACTCATCACATCCAACATCAGGTTTTGCCAACAGTATTAATGGTGTGGTCATGATGATGATGGTGATGATGAAGAGAAAGAACGAATTAAAATGTAAACGAATGAAATGAAAGAGTGCACGGTTTTAATGAGTGATTGAACGAAACCAACAGTGAAGAAGAACAATCCATTAAGAATAGTTCTTTGCTCACTAAATTCGCTCGCTAGTTATCTTATTGTTGGCGATCGCAGGATTAATGAGTCTTCGTGCGTAAGGTGAAAGGAATAAGTGAATGATTGAAATGCGAGAACAAAACGCCCTTTTTAGTATTTTATTATGGCGGGAGTTACAGTAATATTCGTCCCGCCATATAATATTAAATGTAATGTCATGAACTCCTTTATTATAATAATGAGGGTTTAGGGTTTAGGGTTTAGGGTTCAGGGTCAGGGTGCAGGGACCTGCTTCCTGGTCAACGTGAGTCTGAAGCTGGAGTGTCAGGATGGGATCAACACCCCAGGTGCCCTTTCTTCCTCTCCTCCTTTGCGCGCCTACGGTCTCGTGCCTCTGGGTTTAGGGTTTAGGGTTTAGGGTGTTCCTATGGTCTACATCATCAACATTGACGCGCCCCTAAACGACTCTGCAGGTATACGTATCTATCCCTTATATAACCATGAACCTCGAGACTTATAAACCCTACAGCACCCTGAATCTTGAACCCTGAACCCTGATAAACCCTAAATACACCCTAAACCATCAAACCCTAAACCCTAATCCCCTGAACCTTCGCCCTAAACACCCAAGCCCCTTACTAAAGCATCCCCCAAACCCTAATGCCCTGAACCTTCGCCCTAAACACCTCAGCCCCAAACCCAAACCCTAAACCCCAAACCCTAAACCCTAAACCCCCGAAACCCTTCCTTTGAGGAGCCCGTCTGCTGCTTGGATGTCGATCAGGAGGTGCCTGCGGCAAGGCGCTTGTTAGGGTTTAGGGTTTAGGGTTTTAGGGTCAGGGTTAAGGGTTAAGGGTTTAGGGTTTTCGGGGGTGTTTTTGGGGGGTTAGGGGGCGGTTAGGGTTAAGGGGTTCAGGGGTGTAGGGTTCAGGGTTAGGCTTTTTGGTGTTTGGGATGTTTGGGGTGCTTGAGGTGTTTGGGGTACCGTAAACCCTAAACCCTAAACCCTAAACCTTAAACCCTAAACCCTAAACCCTAGACCCGAAACCGCGAACCGATTGTAAAGACGATCAGTGCCAGCCGCCCAGTGCTTTACAACGTTTTCCGGGGCTTGAGGGTTGATGCCACTGCTAATTCGTGCAAGCTCTAGATGCGCTGTCAGGCAACAGGCTTGACTTTCTGAGTTGCTCTCCCACGTTGTTGGTGCGCCTCATAGTCTTCTTGTTTCTGCAGGACCTGCTCAGTTTGTTAATGGAGTAAACCCTAAACCCTAAACCCTAAACCCTAAACCCTAAACCCTAAACCATGGACCCTTAGGGCCAGTTGGGAGTGCAGGTGCGAGAGATGTTGAGCAGCGGGGCGCCTGACGCTGAAGCGGAAGCTGGTGCGGCGCCTGGTCGGAGATTCAGGGTTTAGGGGGTTTTAGGGTTTAGGGGCTTAGGGTTTAGGGGTTTAGGGGTTTAGGGGTTTAGGGGTTTAGGGTTTAGGGTTCAGCCAGCGGGGGATGCATGGAATGCATGGGAGCCTGAGGACAAGAGCAACTTTGCAAGATAGGGAAGCCAAACGCCTCCAACTTGGCATGTTCCCCCTCAGACTAACAGTCCTTACTAGGGATTAGAATAGGGGTGTGCTTTCATCATTCTTGAGACTGTTAGTACAAGAGGGAACTCCAACTCAGAAGTGCTCAAAGCTGCCCATATCACGAGAACATCAGCATTGGATCGCCATGGCTGGCTCTGGAGATGAGTGCTGGGAGGTGGTCGGCGAGTGCCTTGACAGCGTTGACCCTTCCAGGGCGGCCTACGACAAGATTGAGAGCAACCCGATGAAGGCATGCACCGTCCAGGTGCAGGACAAGGAGTTGTTCTTCTTTCTCCAGCCTCGGGAAGCGTTGCCGAAGGAGGAAAGCAGGCTGTGTGCATCTAACCTCGCTGGACGGTGCAACACCTGCATGCACCGCATGCCAAAGTTCGCGCAAGCTATAGGCGAGGGTGGCAAATTCATCGCGTTCCAGCAAGATGTCAAGGAGCCGAATGTTCAGAAGCTGCGTGAGATGCGCCAGAAGCACTTGAAGGGGATCCAGAGCGCATCCCAATTCAATGTTGTCGTGATTGATGAGGATTTTGTCAAGGAGTATCCCGTGAGCGTTGGGCCCTTCAACCATGTGCACTTCACGTTCAACGATCTCTCGGACGCCAGCCTTTCTCGGAGGCTGAAAGAACTCAAGCTGTACCTGAACGGCTCCTTTGAAAATCGATTCCAGCGCTTGGTGGATGACCCTGCCTCCTTGAAAGTCATCCAGGATGCAATTCCCCGTCTGGTTCGCCCCGATCACTGGCGGGCGGTGGTCGGATGGGCAGTGAACTTTGTTGCCGAAGCTCACGGCAAGGGCTGGGACCAACTTGCCTTCCACGAGAAGTTCCATGTGATGATCTACGCGATGCTCACTGGACGAGCTCATGGTAATGTCCATTTGGACATGCAGCAGGCCAGCAATCTGGTGGACTTCATGGACAGCGCCACCAACGTGGATGGCCTCGTGGCCATGATGGATGACCGAAGCAACCCAGAAACGTACATGGTCTCGCGCGTGGCCGAGCTGCTGCGGGACAAGCAAGTGAAGTCGTTGTGCACAGTGACGCTTGTCTGGGGTCTTGATGGCAACCCTCGTCAGTCAGACCTTGACCTGCACACCTGGGTCAAAGGCAAGGAGCTCTACTACGCGAATAAGAAGGTCGAAAACTGCTGCTTGGACTTTGATGCAAACGCCTCTAAAGTGGAGACGAACCCAGCAGAGAACATCTCGCTGAATCAGGTGGGCACGTTCATAATCAAGGTGAACAACTACAACAACCGTGACAACGCCGACGTTCCATTCAAGGTCATCGTGCGAAAGTCTGGCCAGGAGGTCGAGGTTCACGAAGTTGTCTGGCCAAAAAGCCGCGCCAAGGGAACCCTCATGGAAGTCTGCAGAGTTACGGTGGTGCCCGAGGATCTCGCCGAGAAGCCCGTGGACCTGTCTGAGGCAGAACAGCGGAAGCTTGCCGCCAAGGAGGCAGAGTGGTTGCAGCTCTTTGGCGAGCCTACGTCGACTCTGGCCTGTGAGCGCGACCTCGACATGAAGGTGGTGACTACGTAGAACCCTGGGATATTTTTTCATACACGCATCCTACCTTTCTGTAGGCTTAAGTGGTCCGGCGTCCCGGAAGATTTTTCAGAGAGTTATTGATTTAAAGGGCCAACCTAGGTGAAGTCGAGGAAGTCGCCTCAGGAAGGAGGCTATCCCAGCGCTCCCACTCCGCAGCAGCAGTTCTCCCAACTCCTGGCTCCGAAGGCCGGCAAGAAGGGCTCGACCTTAGCAGAGCGCTGCCAGCTCGAAACTTTGGAGGGATTCATCCAGCATGTGACTCAGCTGACGCAGCGGGAGTGCAGCGTGGAGGTGGACATTCGGAACTTCGTGCCTGGATATATCACGCAGCTTGAGACCAAAACGGACCTCTTGCATAGCAAGTTTGCTGTCAACGCCTTTCATCGAAAGTACGAGTTGCCACAGCAGCCCCGCACAGATGAGCAGTCAACTGCCAGGTTTGACGAGACCTGGAGCTTGCCTTCCACGGCAAGGGTGCATGGCTTCGTGCAGGTGAACAAGATCTGGTTCATGGTCCTGGCGGGCGCGCGACTTCCCAACTCCAGCAACTGGCCGTTGGCTGGCGGCATGTACCCGACTAACCTGAAACCAGAGGCCCACCATCACCGCAGCAAGTGGGCAAGCTTTCACTCGCTCTCGATGCCAATTGTGCCCCCAAAAGGCCAGTTGTTGATTGGCTCAGCGCTTGTTGGCTTTCCAAGCTTCCAGTTCAAGCTGGATGGGCGCCAGGTCACTGTCAGAGCATAGTGGCCCAGAGGAGCATTGTTCGACATGAGTTTGAGTAGGACCTTCCCAATTCTGAAGCTTAGTTCAGAGGCGCCATGGCCCGTGTACAGTGTACAGTTATTCCTCTCCGTGGGCTTCTACATCACTCACAGTTCTGTTCCTTCTTGTTTCTAGACTGTACGGCTCTCACGGACAGCGAAAGCTTTCCCGGAAAAATCTTTCCTTACGCTCGGGAGCAACTAGGGCTGGGACCGGGACATGCTGATCTTGCTATATGGGAGTTTACGAAAGTAAGGGACCCTTTGTATAGCCCTTTAAGTCGTAGGATTCCCTGAAAAAACTAAGGACCCCAATATGGTGCCCCTAACTTGGAGAACCCCCCCATATTGTCTTCTGATGCTTGTGTGGCCCGTGCTGCCAATGTCGAGACCCTAAATCCTAAACCCTAAACCCTAAACCCTCAACCCTCAACCCTAAACCCTAAACCCTAAACCCCAAACCCTAAACCCTAAACCCCAAACCCTAAACCCTAAACCCGTGGCTAGTGAACTTCGCGGAGTCGTGATCAGCGAGCATGATGAGGGCAAGACGGGCGCAACAGCATCCTTTTCTTGAAGCTCAAAGTTTAGGGTTTAGGGTTTAGGGGTTTAGGGTTTAGGGTTTAGGGTTTAGGTCGGGGGCTTCACAGTAAGGTTTACTTACTGGTGCTTAGGGGAGAGTGGAAGAGTGAAACCCTATAGCAGTCCCTAAATAATCACTTTATAAAAGTCCCCATATTCACTCTTCCACCCTCCCTTAAGGGTTGCGGGCTCGGTTTGCGGGCTGGGTGGAGGGGGTCTCCTTGCGAGAACCTAAACCCTACACCCTAAGCCCTAAACCCTAAGTCCTAAACCCGAAACCCTAAACCCTAAACCCTAAACGCTAAACCCTACCCCCAAAACCCTAAACCCAAGACCCTAGACCCCAAACCCTATGCCAAGCCATGGCCCTGATCTATACCGACTTCCTGACTCCCGCGCCAAATAGCATCCCACAATTTCATGAGATAATATGAATATTGCTGATATCAATCACAAGCTCCCATGTCCGTCTTAAAAAGCATATTTCTTCGACGAAGCTTATTGAAAAGACACGATGTGGGCCCTGTCTCGTTCTCGAACTCATGGCCCTGAGGCCGAGGCGCGTGATGAGATGGCCGGAGATGATGGAGTGGAAAAAAACCTACCGATTGAGCTGCAAGCCGCAGTCTTATGGGATCCCCTACTACCCCCTCTACCCCCCTTAAACAACCTTCATCAGGCTTAATTAGCCCTAAACCCTAAACCCTAAACCCTAAACCCTAAACCCTAAACCCTAAACCCTAAACCCTAAACCCTAAACCCTATGGGGCCCTAAACCCTAAACCCTATGTCCTAAACCCTAATTATCCCTAAATCGCTTAGCAGGTGTTGAGAGTTGCTTCTTTTTGGGGGCCCGGGCATACTTACTAATAGTACTCCCTTAGGGTCCCTTTATGATAATACCACAATACCCCCCTTAAAACCCCATTCTAATTCTTAAGGCCCCTAGGGTTTAGGGTTTAGGGTTTAGGGTTTAGGGTTTAGGCTTAAAGGCCTCTATATTGGTTGTTTCTTTCTTGGGGCTCTGGCCTGCTTCAAGTGGCTTGAATGAGGCTTCGGCCGCCTGGATGTGCGCGGGCTGCCTTTGTTCAGGGTTGGTAGACCCTAAACCCTACACCCTAGGCCTTCAACCCTAAGCCCTAAGCCCTAAGCCCTAAACCCTAAACCCTAAACCCTAAACCCTAAACCCTAAACCCTAAACCCTAAACCCTAAACCCTAAACCCTAAACCCTAAACCCTAAACCCTAAACCCTAAACCCTAAACCCATGAGACTTCGCGAAGGTAGGGAGAGACATGGATGTGCCTCCTGCCGCAGCTTTTGCAGACTTGGGGACTTCCGGACACGGAGACATCCTGGGCACATCTTGACCACGGCTGCAACCACACTCATTTAGGGTTTAGGGTTTAGGGTTTAGGGTTTAGGGTTTCGGGTTTAGGGTTTAGAGTTTAGGACAGCCAAAATCATGGGTGCTTTTCGGCTCTCGTTAGGCAAGAATCCCTTGTAGTTTTAGTTAGGGTGCGCAAAATTTCATGGGCCCGTACGGACGAAAAGAAGCACGTCTTTCGGCTTGCCCGGCGTAGTCTGGGCAAGACCAAAGCCGCGAAAGCCCGAAACCCTGAACACCAAACCTCAGGTTTCAGTGTTCTTAAACCCCCCAAAACACCCCAAGCCCTACTTTTCTAAACCCCAAAACACCCAATCTCTCAACCCCACGCCCTCAACCCCCAGCCCCATAGCACGCGCACGGCCCCCTACCCCCTAAACCCTAAACCCTAAGCCCTAAACCGTAAACCCTAAACCCTAAACCCTAAACCCTAAACCCTAAACCCTAAGCCGCGTGCGCTCTCACAACGGCCGCCCCATGGCGGAGCTCAGCGAGCTTCCGGAGTCCCTTCAGGAGGAGCTGGAGATTCTGCGGGTGGCCGGGCCAAAAACGCATGAGGTTCCCCTACTGCCCCCGTTTAGGGTTTAGGGTTTAGGGTTTTGGGTACGAGCCCCTCTTATTTCTACCTCATAATTAGGGCTAGCTAGGGATCATTAAGCCTAATTCAGGCTGTTTAAAGGGGGGGGACCTAGAAAGGTAGTAGGGTTTAGGGTTTAGGGTTTTAGGGTTTTAGGGATTAGGGTTTTAGGGTTTAGGGTTTAGGGTTTAGGGTTTAGGGGTATAGAGCGGGTAGTAGGGAGACCCATGAACAACATGTTGTGGCAGTTGTGGCAGTTGTGGGGTTTGCGGTGTAACTAGGAAGACTTGTGCTGCTTCTAGGGGCAGAAGGACCCCACCCCCTGTGTAGGGTTTGGGGCTTTAGGGCCCCAGGTTTTTCTGTTCAGGTAGGTGCTTTGGGGCTATGCTCGGTTTGGGCGAGAGAGTCGCGTTAAAGAGCAAAGACCCTCGTGATGGTGGACTTAATGGTGGACATGTCCAGAGGGCCAAATTCCACTGGGTTTAGGGTTTGGGGTTTGCGGCTTGGGGTTTAGGATAAGGGCTCCCTAAACCCTAAACCCGAAACCCGAAACCCGAAACCCTAAACCCTAAACCCTAAACCCTAAACCCGAAACCCGAAACCCTAAACCCTAAACCCTAAACCCAATAACCGCTTGAGGCCATCTATGGAGAGGAGACGGTGAGGCCAGGGGGTTGGGAGTCCTGGACCGAGGCGGTGCGATAGGTGAAAGGGTGCGGGGCCAGGGTTTAGGGTTTAGGGTTTAGGGTTTCGGGTTTCGGGTTTAGGGTTTAGGGTTTAGGGCTAGGGCTTTCAGGGGCTTTTGGGGGGGGGTTTTTAGGGCTCTGGGGGCTCTGATAGGGTTGAGGTACATGGCAAGCAAGGAGGTGCCTCTTCCAGCACTCTTTCTGCAGCGCAAAGTGGACCAACCGAGGGTCGTGAAGCTGCAGGTAGGGTTTAGGGTTTAGGGTTTAGGGTTTAGGGTTTAGGGTTTAGGGTTTAGGGTTTAGGGTTTAGGGTTTAGGGTTTAGGGTTTAGGGTTTAGGGTTTAGGGTTTATGGGTTTAGGGTTTAGGGTTTAGGGTTTAGGGTTTAGGGTTTAGGGTTTAGGGTTTAGGGTTTAGGGTTTAGGGTTTAGGGTTTAGGGTTTAGGGTTTAGGGTTTAGGGTTTAGGGTTTAGGGTTTAGGGTTTAGGGGTTTTAGGGTGCAATCTCCGACTCGCCCTAAACCCTCAACTTTTCAATCCGTGAAGCCCTTCAGCCCCATGAACCCATGAACCCATGAAGCCCATGAAACCCTCAGCCCTAAACCCTAAACCCTAAACCCCAAACCCTCAACACTAAACCCTGAGCCCATGAAGCCCATGAACCCAGGAAACCCTAAGCCCATGAAACCTCGAGCGCGCGCTGTTTGTTGGCAGGCTGCTGAAAGACAGGAGGATCCAGGAGGATGGAGAGGAGCCATCGCGGGCTCATGAAGTGGGTTTAGGATTTAGGGTTCAGGGTTTAGGGTTTAGGGGTGGAGGGTTGAGTGTGTGCAGCTCGGCACTTGAAACTCCTCGCTTGCCGAGGGCCCCTGACCTCAGCATGAGCTCGTGAGATCTCGTGAGATGCCTCGGCATTTTGGCTTCAAGATTCGTTGAGCTTGCTTGGGGGGGGCATCGTCTTCGGGATATCAGCTTCAAGCGAATGCCATGCTACGCGTCTGGAGCGCTTCCGGGCAAGAGCTGGCCGCAGCGCCCTCGGGAGCCGCATTCGAAGATGTGCTCGCCTTGAAACGGTACCTGCGAAGCCAGCATGGCATCCCAGTCTGCCTTCAACGGGTCCTCCACGATGGCCGCTGCTTGGAGGATGGTGCTTCTCTGGTTGGGCCCGTCGACCTGCAGCTGGTGCTGTTATCCACTCTTAGCTTGGAGCAGATGCCTCAGGCTGAACGCGAGTTTGTTGAGTCTGCTGAAGATGGTCACACGGAAGTAGCCCGCGCTCTGCTGGCGGCTGGTGTCGACAATGACTTGCAGAACAGCGCCGGCGCGCTCAGGCGTGCATCTTCCGAGGGCCACGTCGAGATTGCATGCTTAGAGCTTAGGAGGAAGTCGGCTTTATTGCTTAGGGAACCTTACACTTGCTTCATAGCGTAAGGCTTTAGCTGAAGTGTCAGGATAGGATCAGGAATAGCCCCAACATCATATTTACGCTGAAGCGCCCCTCAGCCATGGAACTTGAAGGTATAGGTATCATTCCCCAAACACCCCAGAGGCTTCATGTGCGGACATAACCCTAACCCTAGCCCTAAACCCTAAACGCCCGAAACCCTATTTTGTTTATTCTTCTTCTTCTTCTTCATTTACTTTGGGGGGGGGGGGGGCGTGGTATACAAGCCCTTGGTTGGGAGCTTCAGGCTTGGGCCCGCGAGTCACGTGCAGGGCTGGAGGGGAAGTTCAGGGCTCATCCAGGGCTCGAAGCCCTAAAACCCTAAAAACCGCAACCCCTAAACCCCTATCGTTCAGATCCTCAGCCCTAAGCCCTCGAACTCTAAACCCCCCAAAACCCTGAAACCATCCAACCCCTACTAAACCATCAACCCCTAAACCCTAAACCCTAAACCCTAAGCCCTAAACCCTAAACCCTAAACCCTAAACCCTAAACCCTAAACCCTAAACCCTAAACCCTAAACCCTAAACCCCCGAAACCCTTCCTTTGAGGAGCCCGTCTGCTGCTTGGAAGTCGACCTCGAGCCGATGAGCGAGGAAGGCTTCCAGTTGGCGCCTCCGGCTGAAGACGCCTTGGGGTTTTGGAGTGGTTTAGGGTTTAGGGTTTAGGGTTTAGGGTTTAGGGTTTAGGGTTTAGGGTTTAGGGTTTAGGGTTTAGGGTTTAGGGTTTAGGGTTTAGGGTTTTAGGGTTTAGGGTTTAGGGTTTAGGGTTTAGGGTTTAGGGTTTAGGGGTTTCCGAACTGGGGGCTTTTTATTTATTACTATTTTTCTTTTTTTTTTTTTTTGGGGGGGGGGGGGGTCCCTTTGCAGGGGATTCTATTCTATTTGGGGTATAAACGGGGTGGGAAATACACACTTGATGGTTTTGGAGTTTTCGGGGGTGTCAGGGGGTGTTAGGGGGTTAGGGGGTTTAGGGTTTAGGGGGTTAGGGGTTTAGGATGTAGTGCTAGGTTTTTTGTGAGTTCTGGGCTTCGAGTTTCTTTTAGGTGTTTGGGGTGTTTGGGGCTTAGGGTTTGCGGGGTTCAGGGTTATTTTGGGGGGTTTGAGATTTTTTTGGGCTGTTGGGATTCAGGGGTTTAGAGTTTAGGGGGGTTTGGGGTTTCGAGGTCGAGGTTCGAGGGTTTCGGGGTTTAGGGGTTTCTGGTTTCGCAGTTGGGTGCTGTTGACAGGTGGAGGTCGAACGGCCTACGGTTTAGGGTTTAGGGTTTAGCCTTCGTCGTAAGGTGCAGGGTGGAAGGTTTAGGTGCTTTAGGGTTAAGGGAGGGATCTCCTTACAAGAAGGCCGTTTGCGCCCCTCAGTTCGGGGCACCCCCTCAACCCTGCACTCCTACACCCTACACCCTAAGCCCTAAACCCTAAACCCTAAACCCGAAACCCGAAACCCTGAACCCCAAACCCGACCCTGAACCCCACAAGCCAGCCTTGCAGGTAAGCCTCCAGCACCTTCCGAGCCACTAAGCCAAACGGGTTTAATTAGGGTTTCGGGTTTAGGGTTTAGGGTGTAGAGGTAACCCTAATTCCCTGGTACTATTCATACTTTGTTGTCTTAGTTGTGGTGCTGGTAATGGTTTTGATGAACGAGTTGCACTTGAATCAGTATTATTATTGTTCTTATTATTGTCATTACTACTGTTGTTGTTATTATTATTATTATTATTATGATTTTTATTATCATTATTATTGTTATATTTTTACCTTATAATTATAAAGATAGTTATAAGTAAAATTGAAAAACATACTTATAAGTATAACTGTAAGTATATTTAGAATTATAAATATATTTCGAATTTTAGTATCATTTGGGTTATAGTTGTTATCATGCTTTTCATTATTTGTATGTTTACTTGATGATACAACGAAGCCCTACATAGGGTTCAAGGTTAAGGGTTTCTGAACCCCGAAGCCCTAAGCAATGGACCCTAGACGCCCCAGATGAATGCTAAACCGGCTTCCGGACAGAGGTCTGGGTCACGCTGCTGGTGACGGTTCCGAAAGGATACCCGCTCACGGCCACGCCGAAGATTGAGGTGGGTCGCCCTGAGCCGTGATCCCAAAACCCAAAACCCAAAACCCAAAACCCTAAACCCAAAACCCTAAACCCTAAACCCTAAACCCCAAACCCTAAACCCTAAACCCTGTACACGACTTCAGGTCTGAGCTTCTCGGTGTAAAACCCTATTGGGGAGAGGTTTTTCTGGTTCGAACCTCCCTTTGGGTCTTTCCCCATGCTCTGAGACTTATGAAAAGAACCCCCAAGAAGGGGGTTTTGGGTTTAGGGTTTAGGGTTTAGGGTTAGGGTTTAGGCTTAGGGTTCAGGGTTTAGCCTTTAGTGACTTCGGGGCCAAGGGAGACCCGAAATGATGGACCTGCCATGGGCCTCCAAGTACGGTCCGAAACCCTAAGCCCTCAACCCGTTAACCCTAAACCCTGCCCCCTGAACCCTAAACCCTAAACCCTGAACCCTGAACCCTAAACCTTCTGGTACCCTCGCGCGATCGCTGCCGAAGGTTGACAAGTCGCGAGGCATCGGCGACGTGGCATCCTCAGCCTGTCGCAGGATGCTTGCTCTGGGTGGTCTTGGTGCCATCGGTGCCCCCAAACCCTAAACCCTAAACCCTAAACCCTAAACCCTAAACCCTAAACCCTAAACCCTAAACCCTAAACCCTAAACCCTAAACCCTAAACCCTAAACCCTAAACCCTAAACCCTAAACCCTAAACCCTATACCCGAAACCCGAAACCCCAAACCCCAAACCCTAAACCCTAAACCCTAAACCTTAAACCCTAAACCTTAAACCCTAAACCCAAAACCCTAGACCCTAAACCAAGCCCAACACCGCAAACCCAAAACCCCAAACCCCAAGCCCCAAACGCTAAACTACGCCCCAGGCCTAAAACCCTAAACCCTAAACCCTAGACCCTAGACCCTAAACCCTAAACCCTAAACCCTAAACCCTAAACCCTAAGCCCTAAGCCCTAACCCCTAAACCCCAAACCCTAAGCCCTAAACCCAAGTCCGCCAGTCTCGCGCAGCTTGCGCTTAGGCGGCGACAGGAGCCATGATGGATGCGGCCCGCTGCCCAGTGCCTCCCCAACAGTCCCGACCCCCAAATCACCCATCAGGGAAAGCAGCAAGGTGCCTTGCCCCCTTTCCCTAAACCCTAAACCCTAAACTCTAAACCCTAAACCCTAAACCCTGAACCCTGAACCCTGAACCCTGAACCCTAAACCTAAACCCTAAAGGGGGGGGAGTGGAGAATCCACCTGAACCCTCCAAAATGTGAAGGTAAACCCTAACCCCTAAACCCTAAACCCTAAACCCTGAACCCTGAACCCTAAACCCTCAACCCTCAACCCTCAACCCTAAACCCTAAACCCTAAATCCCTTGTTTCGTCATCCTGGTTTTGGGCCAAGAGTCTTGTGCAGACCCTGGGGAGCTTCTCCATCCTTGCAGCATGTTGTCAGAAGGTGGTAAGCCCTAAGCCCTAAGCCCTAAGCCCTAAGCCCTAAGCCCTAAGCCCTAAGCCCTAAGCCCTAAGCGCTAAGCCCTAAGCCCTAAGCCCTAAGCCCTAAGCCCTAAACCCTAAACCCCAAGCCCTAAGCCCGAAACCCTACACTTGAAAACCCTAAACCCTAAGCAACCAAATAGGAGATACCCGGAAGCAGGCGGACGAAGGGTTTCGGTGTTCCTAAACCCTAAACCCAAAACCCCAAAACCCCTGCTTGGGGTGCCACAAGAAGGCAAGCCTACCCACAACAAGAGTTCTTAACAAACCCTTTTCTCATTGCAGGAAGAGCTCGCAGTCCAAACCCTAAACCCTAAACCCTAAACCCTAAACCCTAAACCCTAAACCCTAAACCCTAAACCCTAAACCCTAAACCCTAAACCCTAAACCCTAAACTCTAAACCCTAAACCCTAAACCCTAAACCCTAAACCCTAAACGCTAAACCCGAAACCCATGGGTTGCAGGCCCATGGCTTGGATTCACCCACAAAAAACCCTTAATTTTTGGGAAGCCTGGCGAAGTTCACAACATCCGCCCTACATCCCAAACCGGGTTTAGGGTTTAGGGTTTAGGGTTTAGGGTTTAGGGTTTAGGGTTTCGGGTTTCGAGTTTAGGGTTTCATGGTCCTCTTTTGGTACTAAATGCTCCACCGTATTGGAACAGGCGGGACCTGAACTGGGCTCCGTAGTTTTGGGTTTATAAGGCTTAGAGTTTACAGGGTTGAGGTCTTAGGGATCACCCCCCCCCCCCCCCCCCCCCCCCCCCCCCTTCTCCTCGAAATCTTACCATCAACGCGGCCGCTTTACCAGGGGGAGCAGACCCTCGACGTGTGTAGCAGGGACAAGAGATTATGGGGTTCTCAAAGGAGGGGGGTTTTGGGAAGCTTACGGAACCCTAGGGCGTAGTGGGGAGTATTAGGGAACCTTGGGTTACATACAGTACCCCCCTTGAACCCCCCTGCCTTAAGAATTCAAAAAGAGAGGGCAACTCACCTGATGTGGTTTTATCCGCTTCCCCCTTCAGCCGTCGTTCCCGGGACCTTGTACATCCTAAGTCCTGAGACTCCCGCAATCATCACCTCTGTAGCCCTAAACCCTGAATCTCTAAACCCTAAAGCCCTAAATCCCTAAACCCTAGGTCCTTAATTTTTAAACCCTAAACCCAGAATCCTTCCATTTTTAAACCCCCAAACCCTAAAACCCAAGATGAAAGACTGAACCCTAAACCCTAAACCCTCAACCCTAAACCCCAAACCCCAAACCCCAAACCCTAAACCCTAAACCCTAAACCCTAAACCCTAAACCCTAAACCCTAAACCCTGAACCCCAAGATGAAAGACTCTCTGCAGTATGCGGCCATGGGCTGCCGCCACTACAAGCGGCGCTGCCGGATCCTGGCTCCGTGCTGTGAGCAGGTGGTAGGTTTAGGGTTTAGGGTTTAGGGTTTAGGGTTTGGGGTTTAGGGTTTAGGGTTTAGGGTTTAGGGTTAGGGTTTAGGGTTTAGGCTTTGGGGCTTCAGGGCTTTGGGGCTCCTGGAGGACCCTCCGATTGTACTTGCTTGAGTATGAGCGGTACATGGACCCCCACACACAAAACTCGCAAGCAAAAAGCACACTAAACCCTGAACCCTAAACCCTAAACCCTAAACCCTAAACCCTAAACCCTAAACCCTAAACCCTAAACCCTAAACCCTAAACCCTAAACCCCCAGGTGTTCTGGTGCCGCCACTGCCACAATGAGACCGCGAGCAGCAGCGAGCGGCCGCACGAGATCGACCGCACCAAGATCGCAGAGGTCAAGGGGCTAAAGGAGGGAAGCTTTGTTTGGGGGACTTTAGGGGTAATGATTTAGGGTGTAGGGTTTAGGGTTTAGGGTTACTCAATTAAGTATATGGGGTCTCTATAAGGTATATGTAGCTATGGGGTTGGTATCCCTTAAAAGAAGGCCATCTGCGAGATGTGCGGCCATCGGCAGGCCCCAGCGCAAAATTGCGAGGCTTGCGGCGGCAGCTTCGCGGCATACTTCTGCACTCACTGCAACTTTGGCATAGTTTAGGGTTTAGGGTTTGTCATAGTGGCATAGCGTTTTGCATTTTAAGGGTACTTAACCTCAGTAAGGAAGAGAAAATTTGTTTTTTTGATGCTATCCCAACCGTGAACGAGGCAACTTCTGGGACGATGATGGAGTTCGGAAGAAGGTCTTCCACTGTGAGAAGTGCGGCCTGTGCCGTGTTGGTGGCCGTGAGAACTACTTCCACTGCGATGCCTGCGGTTCCTGCTATCCCGCAGAGATCAAAGACTCCCACACCTGTGTGGAGAACGCCATGAGGCGGAACTGTCCCGTGTGCTTGCAGGATTTGTTCCAGTCCACGACGCAAGTGACGATCTTGCAGTGCGGACACACCATCCATCAGGACTGCCTGAGGGAGCTGCAAAACTCCTTCGCGGGACTGCAGTCTCTGCGATGTCCTCTCTGCAGCGTGACTTGGCAGCCCAGTGGTACCCCCCTTTGTCTCTTTTTCTGGGCTCAAGGCTCCGTTCTAAAGTAACCCTAAACCCTAAACCCTAAACCCTAAACCCTAAACCCTAAACCCTAAACCCTAAACCCTAAACCCCAAAAGAGGGCACCCATTGTTGTAAGATGGCCACTGGGCTACCAAGGTGAGCCTCTACGGCTACGACGACCTTTGGCATGAGATGGACCGTCAGATAGAGGAGACTCCCATGCCTCTGGAGTGCAGGCAGCTTAGGGTTTAGGGTTTAGGGTTTAGGGTTCAGGGTTCAGTGTTCAGGCTCGCTGTTACATGTGCAGGCAGCTGACGGACATCATCTGCAACGACTGCCAGCGGCCGTCCTCCGTGGAGTTCCACATCCTGGGTCAGAAGTGTCCCACCTGCCGGTCCTACAACACCCGGAGAGTCTGACATGGTCCCTATGAGAGCTTCCACTTGGGGGATGTTGCCCCTTTATACTAGCAGTCCTTCATGGGGGATTCTAAGAGGGGGGTACTAGGATCCCTATGAGGGATCAGGGGAACATCCCCAAGCTTCCACCATGGTCTCACACACAAAAGCTATAGTTCGCTAGCATGCAAGACAGAATGGCTGAATTCCAGTTGCTCTGGCACCTTCCCCCCCCCCCCCTCGTGGGCCCCTGGGCCCCCAGGGGCCCTGGCTCTTCGTGAGGCCGCCGGAAGATTCTGAAACAGTCCGTCGCAAGTCTTGCTGGTTCTGTATACGTGCGGCTATGGGCAGGCTGCCTAAACCCTAAACCCTAAACCCTAAACCCTAAACCCTAAACCCTAAACCCTAAACCCTAAACCCTAAACCCTAAACCCTAAACCCTAAACCCTAAACCCTAAACCCTAAACCCTAAACCCTAAACCCTAAACCCTACAACCTAAACCCTAAACCCTAAACCCTAAACCCTAAACCCTAAACCCTAAACCCTAAACCCTAAACCCTAAACCCTAAACCCTAAACCCTAAACCCTAAACCCTAAACCCTAAAGCCTAGCGTTATAACCCTACTCAGGGTACTGTACTACTAACCCTACTTCTAAGAACCCATGAACCTCCAAGTAGCTCGATGGGAAGCAGGTGCACCTCATCAGCTGCTAATGGGTTCAGGGTTTAGGGTTCAGGGTTGAGGGTTTAGGGTTTAGGGTTCAGGGTTATAGGGTTCAGGGCTTAGGGTTTAGGGTTTAGGGTTCAGGGTTATAGGGTTCAGGGCTCAGGGTTTAGGGTTTAGGGTTTAGGGTTCAGGGTTTAGGGTTTAGGGTTCAGGGTTATAGGGTTCAGGGTTTAGGGTTTAGGGTTTAGGGTTCAGGGTTATAGGGTTCAGGGTTTAGGGTTTAGGGCTTAGGGTTCAGGGTTATAGGGTTTAGGGATGCAGTTCCGCTTCGTGGATCTTTCCTATTTCATCAGGCTGACGCCTGCATCAGGTGAGTTGTAGATTTTACAGCTGACCTATTCAGAAAGCATCGTCAGGGAGGGAGTTCGGCTGGGGTGGCACATCTGTGACGTGATCGCAGCACAGCACAGCGCACGGCGAGCAGTTCTTCAGAGCGTTGTCTTGTGTGAAGGGTTTAGGGTTTAGGGTTTAGGGTTTAGGGTTTAGGGTTTAGGGTTTAGGGTTTAGGGTTTAGGGTTTAGGGTTTAGGCATATATGGAGTTGACGAGCTTGTGAAAGCCAGCCTCTCTTGTCTTGAGGCCAAGAAGGGCATCGAGCATCATGGGCTGCAGGACCACTTGCCCCCTAAACCACAGGTTCTTCGGGGTTTAGGGTTTGGGGTTTAGGGTTTAGGGTTTAGGGTTTATTGGCAGGACCAAGGCTGCCTGGGACCAATCCTCTCCGAGGCGGGTCTGGGACGAAACCCAGCAAGGTCGGGTTTACGGGGAAACCCTGAACCCTAAACCCTAAACCCTGGACCCTGAACCCTAAACCCTAAACCCTAAACCCCAATCCCCACACCCTTTTTTCAAGTGCAAGGCAAGCGGTGTTTGCCCATCAACCAAAGCAGCATCAGCGAACTTGTCTTGTAGGTTTGGTAATCTGTTGCCAGAGATGTCTATCTTGAGCGACTGGGTTGATTCGTCTGAAGAGCCTAGTGTTGTCCATACCGGGGAGACTGCTCGCGGAATGCATCTGTTTCACCAACTGTTGCGACGGGATACTCCAGTAGGGGTGGTGAATCTCAGCCACTGCCGGGGTCTTATCCGTATCTGCATGTTGTAGCCGCATATACGCTTCGGTCATAGCAACTTCCGCCCAGTGCAAGCTGGGCCGACCCGATCTGTTCCCTCCGCTGATGAAGCGATACGCTTTCGACTGCATAAAAGTACTGGTCGCCTCATATGTATCAGGGTGACGGAGAATGTGGCCAAGAAGCTTTAGCCTGTTAAAAGAGAACTGCTGCGACGGAGTGGGAAGTACTGTGAAGGCATTTGCACGTTCCGACAAGTATTCATTGGAACAAGGAGCCTCCGACGGTTGTAAAACCCGATGATAATAAGAAGACTTCACACGAAAAATCCTACGCAAATTTTTAAAGTGAAGAGAGTCAACTCTGCCTTGCTGAGAGGGTGCAGGACAACATGATTCCATGCCATATGCCAAAATTGACAGAATGATAGACTTGTACACGGTGAGCTTCCATTTTGTCGGGAGGCCAGCATGCGTGAAGAAAGGCTTTAGCAGCTTGGAAGCGTGTACTGCCCTGGAAATCCTTTTACTGGTGGTACTCCTACTGTTGCAGGTAGCATCAAGAAATATGCCTAAATATTTCACCTCCTCCGCTAGCGGAACGTACTCTGTCGCTGCACGGCGCCCGCCGTTGCAACAACTGCAGCTACAATCGGCGCCCGGATCGGGGGCATAAGAAACGCGGTTTTCCGAGTGAAGCTGCAAGTGCTTGCATTTATCGAGATTGAGCTGCAGACCAAACTGCAAAGCATGATGCTGTAAAAGATGCAGAAGCCGCGTGAGTTGAAGAGATGAACGTGAGAGCAGAACTGTATCATCGGCATACTCGAGGTCCCAAAGGCGCGAAGGGATATTAAGAACACCTGTAAGTACCCCAAACTGGCGCTCGTAAGAACACTCGACATCGTGGAACAAGCACGTGAGCACAACATCAAAAAGATAAGGTGAGAGAGGACACCCCTGGCGCACGCCACGCGACTGCGAGCCCTGCTGCGATATGCAGCCCGAGTCACGAACTCGAAACTGCGGCGACTGGTAGATGGACATTACAGCCCGTACAAAGGGGTCAGGGACGCCAAGCCTCACCAAAGACTGCTCAATCGCAGCAAAAGAAAGAGAATCAAAGGCCTTGGACCAGTCCAGAAAAAGAACATGCAACGGCGAGACTTGCCGTTCGTGAGTTTCAATCAATCGTCGAAGAATATGTATAGGTTGCGCTGCTGAGCGGCCCCGCCTAAATCCAAACTGAGAATCCCGAATTCGTGGGTCAATGTAGAAAGCCAGACGTTTCTGTAATAAAGAGGCGTATATTTTGTAGAAACAATCGCTGAGTGAGACAGGCCTGTAGTTGTCAAGCGACAGTGTGTCTTTTTTCACATCCTTAACCAACATGACCACATTTGACAGGCGCCACGCGTCGGGGATAGAAGCAGAGGTGAGGCATTTATTGTAATGAGACAAAAGGAAAACACGGACTATATAAGGAGCCCTTTTGATGAGCTCTGCAGGAATTTCATCCGGTCCCGGAGCCTTCCCGGTTTGAAGCGCCTTGAGGCACTGGTAGAGGTCCTCTTCCGTGAACAACCGATAGATCTCAGGGATGACCGGATGGAGGGGCGGGCGCGGTTGGAAAACCTCTTCCCCACACTTCCAAACATGATTTGCGAGATATTCTCGAAAAACTTCCGCTCGTTGTTTGGTAGGCCGGAGTTTGCCACTCGTGTCCCGGATGCCTGGAGGTTTCGGCGTGAATCCACGCCGGAGGTTGCGGAGAGTTGTCCATTGAGTGGGCGTGCTCTCATAGTCTATGGAGAGCCGGGTATGAACAAAAGTCTTTTTATCCTTCCTGGCAGAAGCCTTGATACGTTTTCTGAAGGCCTTAACATCCTCCGGCGCGAGTCCCCCAGCATCGCGCAATTCGGCGATGAGTCCCAAAGTTGTTTTGGAAATCCATGGTTTGTGCGGAGTCAAAGGGAGGGCCGGAATAAGCTCCTTAGCTTCGGAAATTGCCTGACGCAAGAAAACGTTCTGCTCTTGTACCGATAATGAATCCCAGTTCGTCAGATCCAGATTGAACTCTGGGGGCCTGAGACTTCTGGAATGAGGTTGCGAAAAACGGCCTGTACGTCCTAGCGAAAAATTTCCCGAGTAGGCCACTCGGTCTGCATACTCATTCCCGGGTATGCCCACGTGTGAGGGGACCTTGTCCACATGAACGTTGAACGTAATGCGCATAGCGACCCAATACCTTTGGAGCCTGGAAATAAGTCTGTAGTGCGTAGCAGGCAGGGAGCGCGCACGTAAAATATCAAGAACGTACTGAGAGTCCGTGTAAACATGTATCCTTTGTCCCTCCGGAAAGCCCGAAAAGTACAACAAGTAATCGAAAAGCTCAATAAGCGCCTGAAGCTCAGCAGTATTGTTGGAAGATACCTCCGCCCCAGCGAACTCCGGGAAATCCGGGTTCGTTCTCACTTTGCCATGGGAAGTAATCCAATCCGAAGTTGGTTTGGGATGCAATGCAAAAGCGAGTAGAATGGGGGAGACCACAAACCCCCAACCCGCTGGGTTCGTCTGGGAGATCACCCTGTTATTGGGGCAAGAGCCATCTGTGTAAGCCAACACATGCCCTTCCACCGAAGCTACCGGATCGAAAGAATGGTTACATAAACTTAGAAGAGAAGACTCCAACTTGTCATAATACTGGGAGGTTTGAGTGTAGTCCGGCAACGGTGGGGTACTGGGCGGGGGTCGACGCGCCGGGAGAGCGACCCCAATGGAGCAAATTATGGGCAAGTGCCGAGAATTCACAGCTTGTTGAAAGTGACTTGAGATGTCTTCAACGGCAAAAACCGGCGCCAAGGCCGTGATAACATAGTCCAATGTGGTCCACTCTGAGACATTCGGGCGCTCCAAAAAATGGTCCGAGCATGTGGTTTCTTTGTACGTAACCCTACGCGCAGGACGATTTTGCATAAACGTTTGAGGGAGTTTCAAATCAAAACTCTGTAACACTTCCAGCAAGTGAATTGCATTATCTCGTTCTGAAGTGTCAATGGAAAGCCTCTTACCCCACACAGTAGGCCCTATGTGGACTCCAGTAGAGTCGAGCTGAGGGTCCAATCTAGAATTGAAGTCTCCCATAACCAACAGGTTTTCTGGCGAGCTGACATCTACCAATTGCTCAGTGAACATGTCCCAGAATTCCCGCTTCCGGCGTA